ATAGATAGATAGATAGATAGATAGATAGATAGACATATCTATATTTATATATGTATATAATTCAATAGTTTTCTCCTTCTCGCAGCTGGTTTGTCAAGTTCGCGGAGAACGAGGGAGAGCCTCTGTGGCACGGATATGTCTTTGCCTTGGCTTTCCTGGTCACCAAAATCCTCATCACAATCTTCAACACTTCTAGTCAGTTCCTGGCCGCCCGGATGGCGGTACGAGTCAGGAGCACCGCTATTGCAGCTATTTTTAGGAAGGTAATTGTTAAAAAAATGAGGTTTGTACTTAAATTAGTTGTCTTGTCAAATCAAGAACACAAAATAATGTTGAAAAGGGCGTTCAGCACTATACATTTTACCACACTTTCAAGAACACAAAATGGTCATGTTCAAGATGGCCACGTATTGCTGAGTAGAGATGAGGTTGTCTTAGACAGGTAGCTGTCTTGCACAGTGTCATTATAAAGTTTTTAAAAAATCGCAAGCGTCTCTGGAAACGCAAAGTTGCCGTTTGTACAAACGATTGTCTTATACAGGTGTCTGTTAGAACAGGTTCGACTGTTCTTGTAGTACCACCAGACCTTCCTTGATACCCACTCCTGGGGTTCGAACGAGCCTAGGTTAAAAACCACTGGTCTGAACGATATGGCCTGAAGGAAAGCAAAAGAGTATTAGCCAAGGCCAAAGGCTGCTTTTTAAGTGGGTTCAGGCAATAAGTGTACATATATTTGTGTTCATTAATTTTGTGTGACATCGTGGTGAAATTAGGTACTCGACAAAAAAATTCTGTTTTTTTATGTAATATTTTTTATATTTTGAAATACTCGTCTTTCTTCTTCTATTCTTTTTAAATCTTAAAATATTCTCTTTTTAAAAGATGTAATAATATAGTGCTTTCTTTCTTTTTTTCTTTCTTTCTTTCTTTTTTTCTTCCTTTCTTTCTGTCTCATTTGCCTCTCCTAATCCGTGTCTGCCCATGATTTCCTCATTGTGACTATTGTCCGAACCTACCTTTGCATTTAGATCTCCCATGACAATGTTGATGTCCCTACCTGGAAGCTTGTCGATGACTCTCTGCAGGCGGTTGTAGAAGTCATCTTCTCTTTTCATTTCTTTTCTCTTTTTTATTCTTTTGAAATCGTTCCTTACGCCCCCCTCCCCC